ATTCCTTTTTTGGTGAAATTAATGCTCTGAAAATACACAACAAATTCCTGAGAATTTCCTGGTTTCTTCCTGTTGGATAATATCAAATTGATCCAATGGGATTGATTTTCACTTTTTATCCTTTTTTTTCCCTTTTCTTGAGGAATATTGGAAATTTGAGGCTGAGAACTGAAAATAAACCTCAAGCAAAGCTAAATCCCCGTGGAAAAAAAAAAAATAGGAAAACTTGGAATTTTGTTGATTTTTTTTTTTTTTTCCTTAATTGGAAGGAATTTCAGGAAGAAAAAACCTCCAGGAATTCAATTTTAATGCACCCAAAACCTTTTTCCACATAATTATTACTTAATGATGTTGCTAATTATTTTTTTAGGAATAGGAATTTTTATTTAAGGAATTACTAAAGGAGATTTTCCATGGAAAATTTTTCTTTTTTTTCTCCATCAGCAATTGTTATCCAAGTGTCCCTGGAAGGAATATAAATCAGATTCTGGGAAGCCTTATTATTATAATTCCCAAACCAAGGAATCTCGTTGGGCAAAACCCAAAGAGCTGGAGGATCTTGAAGGTAAAATGCTGCTGGACTTGTATTTTTATAAATTTATATTAATTAATCACATTATTTCATTAATTGGCAACAAAATGAGCTGAGGGAAAACAATAAGTGTAAAAAAAAAAGGATTAGGAAGCAGTAATTTTATTTTTTTTCTTAAAATTCTGTTTAATAATCCTAACTTTCTTTGTCTTTGAACTCTATTTTTTTTTTCCAAATTAAAATAATTATTTTAAACCAAAAAAAATCTTTTCTTTCTTCCCCTAGTGACATTTCTAAACTTCATTTTAATCTCGATTGATTTGAGTCTTTGAAAGGCACAAACATTAAAATTTTGGATTGTAACAAAAATATTTAAAACTTTGCTTGTATTAAATCAAGAATTACCAGAACTCTCTGTGTACATGAACCATTTTAAAGCTGTATTTTAATTCTTTTTCTCTCTTTTTCCTCTAGCAATGATTAAAGCTGAAGAAAACAGGTACTTTTTTAATATTATTCTGATTTTTACTTGAGAGCCCTTAAAACTTTTCCTGGCGATTTTCAAACCAAGCCTTTCCTGAGGAAGTTTAAACCTTTTTTCTGGGATCCTCAAACCCTTTTTTCCTGGGAGTCTTCACCCTTTTTTTTTTTTTTCCTGTGGTTTTTTAGCCCCTTTTTTTCCAGGGAGCCTTCACCTTTTTTCCTGAGGTTTTTCAACCCCTTTTTCCTGGGAGTCTTCACCATTTTTTTTTTTTCCTGAGGCTCTTCAAATCCTTTTTTTCCTGTGATTCTTCAAACCCTTTTTTTCCTGAGGTTTTTCAACCCTTTTTCCTGAGGCTCTTCAAACCCTCTTTTCTGGAGACCTTCAAACATTTCCTAGGATCCTCAAACCCTTTTTTTCCTGAGGATCCTAAACCCCTTTTTTTTCCTGAGAGCCTTTCCACCTTTTTTCCTGAGGTTTTTCAACCCCTTTTTTCCTGGGAGTCTTCACCCTTTTTTTTTTTTTTCCTGAGAGCCTTCAAACCTTTTTTTCCTGAGGTTCTTCAAACCTTTTTTCCTGAGAGCTTTGAAACCCTTTTTTTATTGAGGTTCTCCAAACCATTTTTTCCTGGGAGCCTTTCAGCCTTTTTTCCTGAGATTTTTCAACCCTTTTTCCTGAGGCTCTTCAAACCCTCTTTTGTGAGGAACTTCAAACTTCTCCTAGGATCCTCAAACCCTTTTTTCCTGAGGTTCCTAAAACCCTTTTTTCCTGTGAGCCTTCAAACCCTTTTTCCTGAGGACTTTCAAACATTTCCTGTGAGCCTTCAACCCCTTTTTTATGAGATTTTTCAACTCTTTTTTCCAGATTCTCTTCAACCCCTTTTTCCAGACTTCCCATAAAGCTCCTCCAAGTCTTGAACTCCCCCTAACCCCCCCTTTTCCCCCTCCTTTGCCCTGCCTGTGTAACCCCCACACCTCCAGGTGACACACAATTAAATTTTTGTCCCCAGCACGAAGCCGGACGACGCCAGCGCGGCCACCTCGGCCCCGGCCGCGGCCACCGACAGCGGGGCCCCGACCGCGGCCCCGGGCACCGAGAGCGGCGCGGCCACGGCGGCACCCACGGGTGCTGCTGCTGCTGAGGGGGACCCTGCTCCTGCTGCTGCCACCACGGGGGACACGGAGAGCGCTGGCACGGCCACCAGCGAGGAGCAGGGACAGCCCAGCGCGGCCACCGGGACGCAGGAGAGCGGTGACACCGCCACGGCCACCAACGAGGAGGGGGCCAAACAGGAGGGGACAGCAGAGTGAGTGATGGGGAATGGGATTGGGATTGGGGATGGATGGATGATGGATGATGGATGGATGATGGATGGATGGATGATGGATGGATGGATGATGGATGGATGATGGATGATGGATGGATGATGGATGATGGATGATGGATGGATGATGGATGGATGATGGATGGATG